GCTTCCTTTTGTGTGATTTACAACGTGTGGCAGCCTTGTTGGCTGCCTGTAGGTCAGCAACCTGGTTGCGCACTAAAACCAGTGAATGCGCCATCAGCTCTGCGCCTTTAGTGAGCTGATTAAGAGCGTTAACTATAGATGTTGGCGAGCTATTAGCGTGTCTCTGAATCCTCTCTCGAATCAGCTTTAATTAAGACCTAAATTCTAGGGTGTTGCTTGGTGTTTTAGACTCCCACGTACTGTTGTCCACAGTAGGTGGCGTTGGCGTGCGCAGCCGTACTTCAAGCTTTAATAGCACAGCCTCTGGGTCAAGTGGGACTAGGCCAGCACCTCTAAATCCCCCCTGGATGTTGCTCTCTGTGATTGAGGCGTTAAAAGCCGCTTTGAAGCACGGCAAGAACTCAAGTTTGGTGATGCGAGTAATCTTGCTGCGCATCAGCCGCTCGGCTTGGCGGCCATAGGCCTTCTTCAACGGGGCAAAACAGCCTACGTCAAGTGGCTGCAGTAGGTGCGACGAGTGTGGAGGCATACACAGGGTAATAATCTTGTGTTCCTCGCAGTACTGGTGGAATTCGACTGAGTTGTGGCTCTCGTGGCCGTCCAGAATAAGCAGCTGATGGCTGCTAACAGTGCGCGCCTTTGTGTGCTCATCAAAGTGCTTTAACCACTTGACTCTAAGCTTGTTGTTGGTCCAGCCGTTGTCAGAGACATTAAGAACCCAGTTGTTAGGTATACTAGGCTCCTTGTACCAGGCAGAGAGGTGGTGCTTGCTAGAGAAGATAATGAAGGGTGGGATAGACCAGCCCTTCGCGCAGATGCCTTGGATGATACTGGTCCACTCTCAGTCGCCCTGCTGCACTGCCTTTGGTCTCCCTTGACGCTCAGAGCCTGTGACAACAGCTCCTGTTGATATAACGCCCATTATAAAGCTAGACTTATTAAAGTTGTGGGTGTCTTTATCTTGTATACTATACTTGGCTTTAGTATTCTCTACTAGTTGGAACTAGTCCCTAATCACCTTAGGATCCTCACACAGAGCTCTCTTATAGTCATACTTGCGATTGAATTTGACTTTGAGCTCTGGCTGACGTTTTACAAAGTTGGCAGCCTAGTTCTTGCCAACGTAGGGCTGGTGGCGCTCAGCAAGCAGAGAATTGGCTATATCCTCCACATCAGCAAGCCGGGGTGGGTATCCTCGCTCGTCTAGCTTCAATACATGCTGGACAATCACCTCCTCCTCAGTACTAGTCATCCTTATTATGTTGGGCTTGCAATCGCGTCATGAAGAGGTTCCAGTAAGGCGCGTGCCTAGGGTGCTTCGAGAGACCTGGTATATTGCTGCAGCGCGTCGCACGCTTAGTGTCGCGTCTTGCTGGATAGCCTGGAGGGCAAGCTGTATATGTGTTTCATTTAAAGGCTTTTTTACGTTGTTGCGTTGAGGCATTACAGGGAGAGTGAAGTTCGGTGTGGTCTTGGCAAAAGTGGCCAGCTCGCTTGGGTGGCCAGCTCGCTTGTGGAGTACGTTATAGAATAGTAAGAGTTGTGTCTTGTTTAAGAGCCTAAATAGCAAGCTGTAACGTACCTCACGGGCGAGTGGCCGGCCCGGGCGAGTGTCCGGATTTTGCCAAGACCACACCAAACTTCAACTTGTCTTGCATATTACAGCAAGTTACTGCAAGTTACTGTAACTTACAGTATACAGCACTAATCTACAGTATCTTGCACATCTTTTATGCACGTTCGCGCGTTGTGCCCTGCCTTACTACACCTGCTACAGCGTCGTAAAGACTGAGTGCCTGGTTCAACGCGCCTCTTCTTGCTTGCCTTCTTCCCATCATCACGGGCTTCAAACTCCTTTAGGGTAGTTAAGCGCACTCCTTTACTAACAGTAAGAGTCCCCTCCCTCTAGATCCGCTTCCTCTTGTGTGATTTACAGCGTGTGGCGGCCTCATTAGCAGCTTGAAGCTCTGCGACCTGGTTGCGCACTAAAACTAGTAAATGCGCCATCATCTCTGCGCCCTTAGTGAGCTAATTAAGAGCATCAACTATTAAAGTTGGAGAGCTATTGCTATGTTATTAAATCCTCTCTTTAATAAGCTTTAATTGCAACCTAAATTCTAGGGTGTTCTGTAGGGTTTGAGAGTGCCACGTACTCTCATCTATAGTAGGTAGTGGTGGAGTACACAGGCGCACTTTAAGCTTTAATATTACAGCCTCTAGATTAAAGGGGACTAAGCCAGCACCTCTAAATCCTCCCTAGATATTGCTCCTAGTAATAGAGGCATCAAAAGCTCCTTTAAAGCATGGTAAAAACTCAAGTTTTGTGATGCAAGTAATCTTGTTACGCATTAGCAGCTCAGCTTAGCGACCATAGGCCTTCTTCATTGGGGCAAAACAACCCACGTCAAGCGGCTGCAACAGGTGCGATGAGTGTGGAGGCATACACAAGGTAACAATCTTGTGTTCTTCACAGTACTGGTAGAACTCAACTGAATTGTGGCTCTCATGGCCGTCCAGAATGAGCAGCTGATGGCTGCCAACAGTGCGCTCCTTTGTGTGCTCATTAAAGTGCTTCAGCCACTTAATACCAAGCTTGTTATTGGTCCAGCCGTTCTCAGAGACAGTGATAACCTAGTTGTGAGGTAAAGACGGCTCCTTGTACTAGGCAGAGAGGTGGTGCTTGCCTTAGAAGATAACAAAGGGTGGGATACTCCATCCTGACGCGTTGATACCCTGGATAATGCTGGTCCACTCTCGGTCGCCCTGCTGTACTGTCTTTGGTCTTCCACAACGCTCTAAGCCTGTAACAACAGCTCCTGTTGATATAACACCCATCATAAACCTAGACTTGTCAAAATTGTAGGTGTCTTTATCTAGGATACTATACTTAGCTTTGGTATTCTCCACTAGGCGGAACCAGCCCTAGATCACCTCAGGATCCTCGCAGAGGGCTCTCTTGTAGTCGTACTTTTGATTGAACTTGACTGTGAGCTCTGGGCGACGCTTGACAAACGTGCTAGCCCAGTTCTTGCCAACAGGAGGCTGGTGGCGCTCAGTAAGTAGAGAGTTGGCCATATCCTCCACATCAGTAAGCCGGGGTGGGTATCCTCGCTCGTCCAGCTTCAGAACATGCTGCACAATCACCTCCTCTTCAGTGCTTGTCAGCTTCATTGAGTTGACCTTACAATCGCGTCTTGAGAGCGTTCCAGCACGTCGTCGTCTTAGCGTTCTTTCTGACACCTTGTAGATTGTTGCAGCGCGTGGAATAGTAAGAGTCGCGTCTTGTTTAAGAGCCTGGATTGCAAGCTGTATATCTGGTTCCTTTGAGACGCTTTGAGCCTTTTTGCGTTGAGACATCGCGGGTTGTATGAAGTTTGGTGTGGTCTTGGCAAAATCCGGACACTCGCCCGGGCCGGCCACTCGCCCGTGAGGTACGTTATATCTAGTTCCTTTAAGACACTTGAAGCCTTTTTGCGTTAAGACATCGCAGGTTATATGAAGTTTGGTGTGGTCTTGGCAAAATCCGGTCACTCGCCCGGGCCGGCCACTCGCCCGTGAGGTACGTTACACTAACTTAGTAACAACTAGGGGTGTGTCACAGTTTAGGGTCTCTCCTGCACTGACGCTCTGTCGGACCTCACCTTGTAATAAGAGGCTGTTTCTCGACCGCAAAACCGATTACAATATAGCGAGCCCAGATCACTGGTATTCTCCGCACTACGCTCGTGCTCATATGATCTGTGGATGGGTCGTGTTCAGGAGCTAGTTGCTCCTTCCCGCAGTCGCACAGACTCGTCGCAGAGGCAGGCGCCGCAGTGACCTTCTTGTCGCGCAACGCCAGATGAGCCGCAACTGGTTAGTGACGATGCCTTTGAGGTGTAACATTGTACGCTTGCGATATGTGTTTTGACAATGCTAACAACTGAGTTAGCTGCTCATATGGACCCTTTGGGCTATCATGTACTAGTCAACCGCCTTTGTCCCGGAAAGAAAAGCTGAACAGGTCTTTGCTGTTAGCTGGATCGGTATATGACTACGGCAATGCAGACTCCCGTAACAAAACTATATCCGGCAACATGCAAGCGCTGCTAGCCCGAATGCTCTCATCAAATTGCTGCTGATCTCAAGAATTTTACTGCCCTACAATCAGCATCTGCATAGCGGCTTACCTTTGCACACCAGCGGTGCATATTATCTTGTGTCCGAACTCTCCCGTGTGGTACCCATCTTTTTGCGACATCTACCATTAACGAGGCTGACAACGGCAGAATACTAAATACTTTCGAGAGATCGTCCAATACGCAATGCATAGGTGCTGTCCCAAATCACTATCGATATTGTGACTGATCGCGCAGGTGCACGAACGCTGTCAGAACTCAATTTTGAAGCTGTCCACAACTGATAGTCATGTCGATACCGGCGTTAATGATCCGTATGGGAAACTCCACGCTGTCACAAATTATCTCTAATCGTCTCCCGTGTGTCACCGCGCCACTTCAAACACCGCAATCAAGAGCCTCTTAGCGTTCTCTACCGTTGTGGCCACGACGCGCCTGGCTTCCCTGTGTGATGTTCAATCCTAGGGTTCTAACTACACCACAGGTGCTTTCTAGTTCTTGATGGAAACTGTTATCGCCTTAGCTGCAGCAGCAATCTTGAGCTGCCGCATGGTTCTACTCGGCCTTCCATGCAAATGCCAAGCGCAAAGAGAGCACGCCGCGCGAAAGGTTGGGTGGGAGCTATCGAACTTGTGGAGTAGCTAAAGCCGTGCGCACGCGGCGAAGATCGCGACCCCGCCGCCACGGATCTGACGCTCGCCTTCCTTCAACCTATCGAATGATCGACATGTTTGGTCAAGTGCTAGTCAAGGTGTCATAGCCCTTATGAGGTCCCTGAGATCTTTTGCTGATGTTCGACGGTCGGCGAGCTGGGCAAGGGGATGAGAGGCGGCTGCCAGATATTGTTCGCCCTGCAGAGTGCAACTGCTGTGCCTGGGCGTCTGGGAAGGACATCAATCCGTGCAGCGATCTTGTGCGTTGCCAGACATGATTGCGCCGTCAGCTTCAGCTTCAAAGGTAGAACGGGTCGTTGTTCGTTCCGGGCTTGCGCATTGTTTACGTGGTTTATAGCCTCACGGCGAGTTCACGGCCGGCAGTCGGCGCGAACCTGACTCGTGTATCCCTGGTCAGCAGCCTTACATGGTCCTCAAGAGGTACCTGCCAATCTATAATGGGATTTCAGCTCTGCTTCGGCCCGTGGAGCAAACATGTGTTGTTGCGGGAATGATGCCTGCCTTTGATCTCATCTCCGTGAACATGGGAGGTTTGCTCTCTTTGCTGCATGTATGATCTAGACCATGGTCTATCTCATGGCTCGTGCGCCCAGCCGCTGTAAAGACCACGAGGGAACGCGAGACATCAAGCCCAGAATGTTTGGGGGCGGAGGACACGAAGTGACCAACGGGGACCCCAAGGAACGAACGAACGGCGTAAACGCTCGTTACCACCAACGTCACTCGCACACGAATACGGAAATCTGTTCCGAGGGACAAGGTTTTGGCTGGTGAAATGAACACAGCGTATACGCCACCGAAAGAATTCGGCTCCAACGTCCACGTCTCCGCGACCCGCAATGGGCATCAGCACCGGTTATGGCACATGCAAAATAACGATCTCCTAGTGCTGCGATAGCTCCATGTCATCTGTTGCGTCCGTCTGTGGGCACGTCCTCCAACTCTCCGTCAGGACGCTGTTTGTTCTGATAGGCGCAACTCGATGACGCTAGACACACTGGCTGCCGGACCATCAGTCCGACCCTGTCAAGCGTCCAACTGTGACTATCAACGGTAAGGTGAATCTCGTGTAAGTGTGACCCCACGGCAAGTCGCGGTGAGTTCGGAGAATTGGGAATCATGACGATTTCAGATGCCCCCAAAGGAACGCGATCTGCCGCACAGCCTTCGTCAGTCTATCTTTTCGACCTTCATTTCGCCGAAGAGCATGCTCCTTTCTTTTCTTTCACCACGAAACGTCCCGGTATAAGGGTTGTCGGGAGCCCCAGCGTTGGGACTCCAGCCTTGCGTTCATTACCCCATATATCGCCCATACATCGTTGTGGTGGCTTGTCACTCTTTATCATGGCTTTCGAAAAAGCGCAGCTCGGCCCCCTTGGGTGGTTTTACATCGCTTTTGAGATCATTTGGAATGTCTTGCTCGTCGCCGCGATGGCCTTTCTCTGGAGGTTAGTTATTCAGTGACTGATTATCGTTGTGTGCCGTTACTGACTGCATCATGACTGTAGGCATCGCGAGCTTCCCTCTATTCGCATGAGGAAGCTGCCTCTTCTGTTTGTTGGTGTAAGCGCTCTTCACATATATGGAGCTATTAGCATTTTCGCGTACCCTTTCGGCACCTACTTCCCCTGCTCAGTAATTTACTGGATGATGAGCATCCTTGTACCTTTCGGCATGGCTTTGTTCCAGGCCGCCAACACTCAGTTCCTTCATGTGGCAAGTCGACAGAAGCAGATCGCCCACATGAGCACGCTGAACGACAGGAACCCAATCAGCGAGAAGGAGGCTGCATCAATGGGCAACAACCGCCTTAAGAGGATTGTTTCTGGGGTCGAGAGGGCCGACAGAGTCAACCGCTCGATTTTCTTCATTTGTGCCGGCATGGTCCTTCAGATCGCAGTCTCACTTCTCGTGTTTCTTGGCTCGGAGAAGTTCCACCCCGGCTGGGGACTGTGGGACTACAACGTCAAGGGCACTGAATCAGAGCTGTACCTAAAGTGTAATCAGGGCTGGGAATGGTGGGCTTCCATTGTCTGGCAATTTGTCTGGGCGTGGATCTACGCACCTTACATGATCTGGAAGAGTAGAGGCGTCCGCGATGTCAACGGCTGGCGACTACAGACTATCTGCACATGCATTGCTGGGTGAGTTATCCGACTAACATGATTGACCAGGACTAATCATTCCAGACTTCCAGCGTCCCCTCTTTGGCTTGCGGGCCTTTACTCTTCTTCGATGGCAGCAGTTGGCGCCTACGCTCCTCCGCCGATGTGGTTCGGTTTCTTCATCTTTCTCATGGAGGTCATCACTCTCGGTTTCCCCATTGTCGGCGTCTTCAAGGCTCAGAGCCTTCGTCAAGAGACACTGGAGGCCATCGCCGAGTGGGAGAAGCGCCAAGCCCTCAACGGTTCCGATAGCACTATTGCTGCTGGGGGCTCGTTGAGAAAGAACAGTGTCTACTCCGATACCTACTCCAAAACAACGACCCTCAGGTCTGGCGGTGGCATCACTGTCAGCACATTGGAGTCGACCAAATCCGGAATGCTTACCATGACAGCACTTGAGAATACCCTCAGGACCAACGCAGCTCCTTTGCTTGTGTTTGCAGCGCTCAAAGATTTCTCTGGCGAAAATGTCAGTTTCCTTACTCATATCGCAGACTGGCGCAAGTACTGGTTCACACCCAAGGGTTCCACCGCTGAACACCGCCGGTTGCAGTTCATTGCTGCTACCCACATCTACGCTCGTTTTATTTCCCTCGAATTCTCGGAGTTCCCTATTAACATCTCATCAAGAGAAATGAAGCGCCTCTATAATGTCTTTGACAGCGCCGCCGTCGCTCTGTACCGTAGCAAGCGCGGATCTCTTTCTTCGGAAGCATCCGATTCGGCCACTCCCTTCGATGCCATCCAGCCAGACGACGTTTCGTTCGCAAATTCACAAGCGCCACCCAGTCCCAGTGGATCGACATTCGGACTGAAGGATCTGGATGCGCTCGGTCGGGCCAACCTCAGGGCGGTGTCATGCTTGGACGGACTGCACACAGATGAGAAGTTTGCCGAGATCGGTATCCCCGACACTTTCGCAGAAGTCATCTTCGACCCCGCAGAGAGTGAGATAAAGTACTTGGTCCTCACCAACACCTGGCCAAAGTTTGTCAATGCTGGACGCGCCGCAAGCCAGACCAGCAAAGACGAGGAGACAGGAAATGGGTGGAAGCAAAAGATGCTCTGCGACCGGAAATAATTTCTATTACGCTTTCTGGATGTTGCACGATGCTTATGCCTCTTATGGGGAAACATTGATGAGGCCTAATTAGATGTGAAGTCCTCTCACTTAGGAGCTTCATTGACCAGTTGATATAATTGACATGATGCTAATAAAACGTTTCTTTCTTCAACACCTCGGTTGCATTAACGTGTTTCACAAGCGAGCGCCGCACCCAACCGAGCGCCGCACTCTCGCTGCCAGAACGCCGGCGCAACAACAGCGCGTAATGTCTCAACCACAACAAGCTCCTACACTCTATACTGAAGCTGATGTACAGCTTGCTATATCTAATATCTCAAGAAACTAAATTCAAAGTATCTAACGCGCTAAGAAAGTCTACAAAGTGCCTGAACAAACAATCTAACGCTGACGCAACAGAACACGCTCTCAACGCGACTGTGAGCAAAATGCGAAGCGCCTTACAAAGCTAGAAGAGGAGGCAGTTGTACTACGTATACTTGAGGAATCTGCGCGTGGCCTACCCTCCTCAAAGGCAGACGTACAAGATATGGCAGATAAACTGCTAAGAGAGCGCGGCGCAAAGCCTGTTGGCAAGAACTGGGTTGACAACTTGGTAAAGCGTACACCAGAGCTCCAGAAGCGGTGGACCCGCCCATACGATCGCCAGCGGGCTGCCTGCGAGGACCCAGCAGTTATCCAGCCCTGGTTCACGCTTGTTCAGTCCATAAAGGCGAAGTATAGTATTATAGACAAGGATGTGTACAACTTTAATAAGTCTAGCTTCCTAATAGGCAAGATATTATTGCAGCTAGTAGTAATAGGCTTAGAGAAGCCTAGGAAGTAGAAGAAGATCTAACCTAGCAATTGTAAGTAGGTTACCCTAGTATAAGGCGTTAGGTTAATAGGGAAGGTTATCCTACTATTCCTTATCCTTGCAGGCAAGGTTCTTATCTCTAACTAGTTTACTAAGGACCTCCTACAGGACTAGGTTATTAATGTTAGTCCTACTAGCTAGACTAACAATAATCTAGCGCTTGCCTAGCTCCACCACTTTAATACGCATGCAAAGCTAGTTAGGGTCTACCAGCTACTTATTATTGACAGCTATAAGAGCTACTGCTTAGTAGCTTTCTAAGATCTCTGCAGAGAGAAGAAGATAATCACTCTCTGTATGCCCCCACACTTGTCGCACCTGTTGCAGCCACTTAACATCGCCTGCTTCTCGCCACTAAAGCGCCTGTATGGCGACGAGGTTTCAGCCTTAGCACGCAGTCATATCTACTATATTAACAAGGAAACCTTCCTGCTAGCCTTTAAATTAGCGTTTAGTAAGGCGTTCACTAGAGAGAACGTTCGCGCAGGCTTTAGAGGTGCTGGGCTAGTCCTACACAACCTAGAGGTGGTGTTATCAAAGCTTGATGTGCGCCTGCGCACGCCAACGCCACTAAAACCCAGCAACGTCGCCTGGGAGCTAAAGACACCACGCACTGCTTACAAAGTAGAGGAGCAGTTAACTCTAATTTAAAAGTAGATTTAAATCTATTAAGGGTCTCTAGCAAGTTTGTTAGATAAGTAGGTTAAATAGTTAGTAAAGGGCGCTTAGTAGATAGCTTATAATATAGTGTTAATGCAGGAGGAAATAGGCTGCCTTTAAGACGCTGTAGAAGCGTCTATAAAGCGCAAGACCTGTAAGTAATAATATATACGCGCAGAGGAGACCCTTACAGTTAGCAAAGTAGCTAACTTAATTACTAAAAAGGAGGGTAGGGGTTATAGTAAGGGTAAGATGCCTGTAAAGAGGGTGCGTGTTAGACAACACTGTAGGCGTTGTAGTAAGATTAGACATAATTCCTGCACTTGCAAGGTAGAAATAGAGGATGTAGATAATATTAAAGCTTCTAAATAATACTATCTAGGCCTGCAAACAATTATTTATTTGTGTTGTGTTGTGATATAGCGCTGCGCAGGCGTTCTGTTGTTGAAAGTGCGGCGCTCAGTTGGGTGCGGCGCTCGCTTGTGAAACACGTTATCTTAAAAATAATCTACCTCTGCAGACTTCTGATAAGTACGTGGCTGCATTGATGACGACTTCGAGATAGGGCGGTACGGTTTGGGAATCGGCCTTCCTATTCGGGACTAGGCCTAGTTTTGGTGCCTTATCCCGTCATACCTCCACTCTCGCACTTCCCACCACCACATCACAACATGGCCAAGAACTGGGGAGACGCGCTTACCGGGCCTGAGAGAGAGAAAAAGGGCTGGGGCTCATCGACGGGTATTAGGTGCATTCTTCCCTTGCTCGGACTGTGGTTGTTACTTCCAAGTAATATCATCATCGCTGGTGACGCACCTCAATGGCATCCCAGTACTGGTATGGAGGCGAAGGCCAAATGCCAACAGGTCGAGCCTCTATTCCCATCGAAGAGCACAAAGGGATTGAATGACACCGAAAGCTATCTCCAGTCTGAGGACTTCCGCAAGCTCGCTATCGAGCGTCTTTCCGGAGCCGTGCAGATCCCCACCCAAAGCTATGACGATATGGGCGAAGTCGGCGTAGATCCGCGATGGGAGATCTTCGATTCTTTCGCAAACTACCTGGCAAAGGCCTATCCTTTGGTCCACGGATCTCTTCAGCTTGAGAAGGTCAACACTCATGGCCTGTTGTACACATGGCCAGGCACGGACCCCTTACTGAAAGCCACCCTACTCATGGCGCACCAGGACGTCGTACCGGTTCCAGACAGCACGGCCAAGCAGTGGAGCCATCCACCGTTTTCTGGTTATTATGACGGCAAATTTGTTTGGGGTCGTGGTGCGAGTGACTGCAAGAATCAGCTCCTGGCTATTCTCAATGCTGTGGAAGCGCTGCTTTCCGCCGACTTTCAGCCTCGTCGTACCCTCATTCTGTCTTTTGGTTTCGATGAGGAGATTTCGGGTCGTGAAGGTGCGCAGCATCTTGCTAAACACCTCGTTGAGGAGTACGGCCACAACTCAATCGCTGCTATTGTCGATGAGGGCGCCGTCAACGTTGAGGGCTGGGGCGCTAATTTCGCTATTCCCGGCGTTGCCGAGAAGGGTTACGTCGATATCGACATTGTTGTGCGCATGCCAGGTGGTCACTCCTCTGTCCCTCCCGCGCACAGTGGCATTGGCGTTGCTTCTGAGCTGATTACATTAATCGAAGGCAGTCTCTACAAGCCACGTCTTCATGACGAGAATCCATATCTCGGTCTTCTGACCTGTGGTGCCAAACACGCACCTGAGTTCCCCAAACGGCTACATCACTTACTCGACAAGCGCTCCAGGAAGAGTCAGACCTGCAAGAAGCGAGAAGACGATCTTGCAGTCGAAGCAGCAAAGGCTGGTCTTGGCGTCAAATACCTCTTCACGACTTCCGTTGCTGTCGACATCATCCATGGAGGTGTCAAGAACAACGCTCTTCCTGAGCGCACACAGATCACCGTGAATCACCGTATCAATATTGGCTCAAGCTCGAAGGACATCAAGGATCACATTTCCAAGCTTGCTGGTGCCATCGCGAAGAAGTATAACCTGAAGCTCAACGCTTTTAGCGGCACTGAGGAGCCTTCTAGCATTACGCTCTCCCACAGCGCTACCGTCTTAGAGCCTGCGCCGGTCACGCCCACACTTTTACACTCAAGCTCTTCGAACATCAGCGCTGTCACACCCTTCTATATTCTCTCTGGTACCACTCGTGCACTTTACGGCAAGGATCTCATTGTTGCACCAGGAATCATGACAGGAAACACTGATACTCGCTATTACTGGGACTTGAGCGAGTACATCTTCAGGTATGGTCCAGGTTGGGACAAAGATCAGGTCGGCATGGGCAACATTCACACTGTTGACGAGAGGGTTGGTGTGCAGGCCCACCTTGATACTGTGCAGTGGATGTGGAGCTGGATTAGGAACATGGACGAGGCGGAACTGTAGGTGGCCCAATACTATTCCACCCAGGGACCAAACAGATTCGAGGAGTATGAGTTGTAAGAAATCCAAGTTCCATGTGCTATTGGTGATCTATGTAGGCAATCCTAACAATTACTGTAGGTGTGAAAGGACGAAGTTCAACTACTAAAGCCAGAACAGCCTCTGCGAATGTCACGTGTACTATTTGCAATACAGGCAGGCCTCAAAGACGGCCACGCGGGTTGCAATACTCTGGAGCCGCAATCGGGTTCAACAACGGTACTTTAGCAGCAATGTCGCACACATTGTTGAAAACACAGTTTGCGCCCGTCGAGTTGTTGAAGATGTCGGCTAAGTTGTCTCTTAATTTCGTCTTTGTAACTTTGTTGCCATAGTTGATACCAAAGAAGCGGCCTGCGTTTCCGCCTCCAGTAGGTGTCGCTGGTGGTTTTAGACCAATTATTGAGATGTAGTTGCTTTTGACAAGCGCGTTCTTAGCTCCGCCCATGGAGATACCCGCGACAGCATCTACAGGGCAGCCTTATTTCCAGTTCGTGATATTGTTGTCGAGGCATTTTGCATCCTTGTCAGGATCGATGAAGTTGCCGATGCAGCAGTCGTGTATGTTGTTGTTCTTGATGACTGCCCCATCAGTTTCAGTGCGAGTCCGATGCAGTAGTCCGAGAGATTATTGTGCGAGAAGACAGCTGAGAAAAATTCATCCATGCACGTTGCAATGGGTTTGTTTAACAGTGAGGTAGGTACTGATCCGATGGCGATGTTACTGTCAAGCCTCAGCTCCGGCCACTGAAACAAGCAAACCAAAAGGTAACATGGCTCACACTGATGGTGAGCCTGTGCCGGAACAGTACTGATATCGTAAGACACAGGTCAGAGGTAGCTTTGCTACATGCCTTGGTGTTATGGGTCAGAGGTGGCTTCGCCGCATGCCCAGCCTGACAGTTACTCGAGGCCTCAGTGCCCGTCGAGCCGACAGTGAGGAAACCATATCTCAGCCCAGTCTCCAGCTTGTTCTTGTGAAACTTCGCGTTCTTAACTCCGTAGACAAAAACTTTCGGCCCATCAAACCCAACGACCTCGAAGCCGGACACTGAGGCGTCATTCACAGGGTCACCGACGCTGTTGATCTGAGTCCAATGCTGGTACCAACACACCCGTGAGGTACGACACAGCATCCTAGATAACAACATAAACAACTTTAACAAGGCTAGCTTGTTTTGCTGCTTTAAAGAAGGCGTATAGGCGCTAAGCTAAAATACTTATGCGCAACTAGATTAAATATATTACTAAGTCTAAGTTCCTACTATGCTTTATACACGCCTATAACGCTGCAATTACTCCTAGCAATATCTAAGGAGGATTCTGAGGCGCTAGACTAGTCCTATTTAACATATAATAGGTTATAATAGCCCTTAACGTGAAGCTGCGCACTCTATCACCAAAACTACCTGTTTACAACAAGCTCTAGCAGTTGCAAACCCTAAGCAATACCCTAGAATTTAGGTTATAATCTACTCTAATTTAAGACAAATTTTAGAAACACTAGGGTAGCTCACTAAAATCTACAACAAGCGCGCTTGATTATTACATAAAGGGGGCAGCAATAGTCACGCAAAGCTTGTGCTTCCAGAGAAACGAATTGCTAAGCTTGAGGCAGATAACAAGGCCGCCACACACCAGAAATCACACAAGAGAAAGCGAGTCTAGGTAGAAGGGATCCTAATAGTTGAGGAAGGCCAGCAATTAACTGCTCTACAGGAGTTTGGGGCGCGTGGTGATAGGAAGAAGGCAAAGACACATCACACCAACTTTCTGATTTTTGGGTCCCCTTTCTAGAGGCCCCAAAAATCGTGGCGAACTAACTAGGCCTACTGCAGCGACTCTGAGGACACGTCAAACCCCCCTCTCGCCCTTCACGCGACGCGCAAAGGGGCGCGTTGCAAGGATGGCAGAGTTTTCTGCTTCCCCTGCCTCTCCTACCTCCCAGCATACAGGATCCCTAGACCCTAAGTCTCCTTAGCACCTTAACAACCACGCCACAGAACAGCTCTAGAGGGTCCTAAATTATTAGGCTCCCCCTCTAAGCAGCTATTTCCCTAGTGGGGGCGCTCCTAAACCTCAAGTCTCTAATACTGTCTAACGCCGCATCACTAAGACTCAGCAGATCACCTAGCTATAGAACACTATCACTACTGCCTTTGCAGCAGCTGTAGACCAACACGCAGAAGGCTACTCTAACCCCTAAGAAGCTAGGATTGCTGCAGAGCTGCAGCAGAGAGTTGTTAAGGCTCTAACCTCCCTCTCCTAAAGCAACTCCCCCCCTAGCTCCTGCTAGAGCAGCGACACCAATCAAAGCAACCCTAGGAGCCAAGAATTAGGTCACTGCTCCTAGGCGGACGTAGCCAGAGACCCCCAAAACACAGCGCCAAAGAATAGGGGCAACAGCAGGCCCCTAAACCCTGCTAGGCCCTAGCCTAGCCCGCCCCCTAAGCTAAAGGAAGATAATTAAATCTTTATTATAATTTCTAACCTAGCAGTGTAATTAAAACAACCCTCCCCCTTTATAGTAAGATAGGTAGTATACAGGAGTATTAAAGGAATTACTATTTAAGACATCCCTACTATATTACTAATTAACACAGGCTAGGTAATTACACCTGCAAGTAAAATAATTAGGGATTAACTCCTAACCTAAGAAAACTAGGAGCTTATAGTAAAAGCACTAGGCTGGGATGCAATTAGGACCCTAGATTACTAGATTAATTACGCTGTACAGGGAGTTCCTAGGTCTTTCTAGACTCTAGATAGCACTAAACTACCTACTACTATCTAGCTAGTAGAGGAGGAAGTCTGCTCACAAACAGGGAAGCAGCTAGTTAGCTGCAGAACCTCACGACAGAGGGCCAACTAGAATAGCCTAACTACCTATATTATATTATACAAGGAGCTAGTCTGCTTATTCTAGCTCTTTAGCACTAGCTAATTCTCTAAAGAAATTCACAAACAACCAACTATACATCAACATAATCTAGGCTGCTAACAATACTGCAACGCTGCCTGCTGCACTAGAGTAGTCTGCTGTAGACACTGTAGGGACTGCACAGATAGACACCAAGGGCTCTATAGGGACAGCTGCCCTTATAAAGCCAAGTGTGCTAACTGCTACAGCCCTTACCTAGCTAGTTACTCTAACTGTCATGCAGCCTAGGCTGGCGGATGGGTAGGGTATGCTTTTTTACGTTTTGGCTTATAGCTTCTTAACTAGCAGAGATACGCTTACATAATCTATTATTTGATAGAAGCGCCTAGTATTGCGCCTTCTAATAAAAAAAGAATTAGCTAATTCCGCCTAGTATTAGCTAAGTTATTAACACTACCTAGCAAAGTATACCTATTAATAGGTATGCTTGCTAGGTACCCCCCCTTTTTTAACGTTTTCTAGCCTCTAGCTTATGCAGTTTAATAGTTATAACAAAACCTTCTACTACAAAAATGTAGATGTGGTTTTTCTCTTTCTTTTTAGCCCTAGTTTGCTAGAATCCATGTATTATTGATAAGGTTTTGGGGGGTACCCACAAAGGACGTTGGAGTATACCCATTCCGCCAGCCTAATGCAGCCCCTTAATAGGCGCATAGACACATAATTAAGCCTACTAAGACTAAACTAAACACTATCTGCCGCACAGGCAGAGCAACATACTAGCATCTCTACAGGACTATAGAAGAAATCCTTAACTAAGCAACGCTACAGCACAAGGATACCCCCCTAGAGGCTGCCTAAGAGATCCTAGCTCCCTACCCCCCTCTCTAAAGGCAAGCACTAGAGGAAGAGAGCAGGGCAGCTACAACTAAAATAAGCAGCGCCTCTTAAGCATCCTTACCTACTAGCAGGGAAAAGAGACTAAGACAGGCTACTGCAGGCTATGCAAACCTAAATGTAAGGGACATGTCTACTATTAGTCTATCCCTATAATTAACTATCTACACTAACACCTCTACTGTAGAGAGGGAGGACACTAGCATAAGCAAGGATCTACTATCTACATGCTAGGACACCAACACACTACCTCCGCCCACAATAGGCAACAAAAGCCTAGCAAGTAGAGAAACTAACTCTGCGTATGCTAGGCCAACGTTAGCAGAAGCTCCTCTTGCCACATTACTATACTAGAAGTGGCCTTTTAGAAGGACATAGACGTAGTATGCGTCTAAGAACCCTTCACCTGTGCTAACTTAAGAACCTCTACCTACCTAGGCTACAGACACCTCGCACCTATTAGCACCTAGGATGCTCCTAACACACTAGGCTTAGCCTGCCCTAGGGTAATAACCTATATCTGTAAAGGGCACTACCTAAAACTCTAGGCTAGAGAAAGCCTTAATTACCTAGATCTGCTGTAGGCTGTTGTAAACAGTGTCTTAATCCTTAACTATTACAGACAGCCACACACCCCTAGCGTAATCTAATACGTTACGCATTTCGCACCTCCTCAACAATGCCTTATAGGGGGTAACTTTAACGCTAAGTATGAGTCCTTTAATCCTACTGCCAGCGCAGCTAACGGTGATGCCGAGCTACCTAGATAGGCTGCTGCTGCCTCTATAGACTACATTAGCATCCTAGGACAGCTAAGACACCAAGCCAGCTAGGTTATTAACCTTGCCTTCTCTAATGTCCTATTCGCACAGTCCTAAGTAGATGCAAGCGTGCACAGCAGATCAGACTACAAGGCAATAGTAACCTATGTCCCTACCTCTACAAAGGACATACAGCACCTAGATTAGTACTACTACTTAGTTATAGAAGTAGGCCTACCTAAGTTTACAGGGGTTGTTAAGATAGGTGTCTAGAACATCCTAGACCTGCTTAGGGCTTATAACGCAGTATAGCTTGACAGATGTGTTATGCTGCTAACAGAGGCATTCTAGCACTCTATACAGACAGCAGGCAAGCTAGATTGTAAGCAAGGACACGCAGCACTATAGTAGACTAAGGAGTGCAA